TGGTCATATAATGTAGTGTGTATAATGTTGTCCCTTAAAAGCCAAAGGCTAACCTTCATATAGTACACACAACCAAAGTGAACTTCCCACCAATCTCCAATGACAAAACCCCACCACGATCCCAGCTTATTTCTTTCAGCTTGTACACCCTTTTAGAGAATCGTGACTTCAGTACCAGAGGAAGCATCTTCAAGAGGAGCCAGGTAGACAATCAGGATTATGGTGAGTAAGGCGAAAGGCAGAGCAAAAACCTACATGAGGGGCAATACACAAGAGATCAGTCAGTGTTTCTGCCCATCCTATGACTCTATAACACTGCGTCAAGGCCAACTCCCTGACTCCATAACACTCCAATCATAAGACAATGCATCATGTCAGTGTTTGCGTCAAGACCCTGAACCTGTAGATTCCTGACTACATGGCACTAAGAGATGGGAAGGTAACTGAAGCTGACCATATAAATAGCTCTATACAACATTCAGAGCATTTCTATCATTCAGAGTCTAGGTGGGAATTGTCTGCACACGGCTCTTAACATGGAGGTGGCTGAGTGATGGCTAGAAGCTAATGGTGCTAATAACATAAACAAGACTAACAGTGGCAACAGTGCAGACAGAGCTACCAATGTCTTTCAGGGGGGAACCTGAACTTGACCGTTACGCTTCCATCCTTTTGTCTGCTGTCCATCTGTGCTGGAGGGATGGCAGATTGCAGCACATTAACTTCTCAGCAGAGTGTATGATACACTACGGACTGCCTTTGTCCTTGGCTCTGGCAGCAGCATACCAGCTGGTGATGGAGGAGGTGAGGATGGACTCAATGATGGCAATGCAGAAGTGCAACATCATTGTCTTTTGCGTGTTGAACTTCTTCAGCTGCCACAGGAAGTACATCCTCTGCTGTGCCTTTTTGATGAGGGGGCTGATGTTCAGCTCCCACCTAAAGTCCTGAGTCATGAAGGAGCTGAGGAAACAGAAGGACTCCACAGCATCAACTGGGGAGTCACACAGACTGAAGGGGGGCAGTGGGGCTGCATTCTTCCTGAAACCCACAATCATCTCCACTGTCTTAAGAGGTCAGGTCACTGGATGGACAATCTCACACCTGTATGCGGACTCATCCCAACTCGAGATAAGTCTGGTGAGGGTGATATCATCCCCAAACTTCAGGGGCTTGACATAGTGGCTGACTGGAGGTGTAGCTGTTAGTATATAGAATTTAGAGCAGAGGGCAAGGACGCAGCCTTGAAGGGAACCAGTGCTGATGGTCCAGGAGTCACAGAGGTGTTTCCCCTAGGTTAACATGCTGCTTCCTGTCAGACAGGAAGTCACTGATCCACCTGCAGATGGAGTCAGACACATGCAACTTGGAAAGCTTGTCCTGCTGCAGAGAATGGAAGATAGAAATGACAGCAGAGCTGGAATCCACAAACAAGATCCTGGCAGAGGTTCCTGGGGAGTCTAGCTGCTGATGGACGAAATGGAGGGCCATGGTGAGTGCACTGATGATAGATCTGTTGGCTTTGTGGGCAAATTGCAGGGGTTCCAGGTGTGAGTTGGGGATGGTCTTGAGGTGGGCCAAAACAAGGCCCTCAAAGGACTTCATTACCGACAAGGTCAGGGCGATGGGTCAGTAGTTGTTAAGTCCTGTGATCCATGTTTTTTTAATAGATTTAGGTTTCAAAGCAGGCTAGTACGTAGTGTGGCAGCTCTACCTGCTTTCACTGCCACATTAAGAGGTCAAGCTGCAACAAACACACCGTTGAGATTGGGAAAAAACTCCAGTAACCAAACACCTTAAACCAAAATGCACAAAGGACAAGCACTCAGACCCAAAACCAAAAGACTATGGATGGAGGACGAGAATACTGCTCTCATAAGACAAACAAAAAGTTTAAAAAGTAGGCAGAGTCTTCAAACCAAACGAGAGGAGCCAGAGGAGAAAGAGAGAGACTGGCCAAAAAGACACCCCACCTGAACTTTTCTCTCCCTCACATTAAGCAAAGCAGTGGTAGCCCTTAACATGGTTTTCTTTTAATAAGCAGCTAATCAAGTTGCCACTGGGCAGCAGAGTGGACTACAAAGTAGAGAGATCAATCATGTTTCATACTGCCCAGCATCCACACCGCAGGGATGGCACTGCACAAAATACTACACATGATCAGTCTTTATAAATTTCTAACATTCAGTTAGCATTCTATTCACCAACTGTGACGTGACTCATCCAGATTAACTGCTATCAGCGGCAGATCATTATTACACAGCAGGCATAACAGTCTACCACTGTGTGTACAGTTACACATGTAATGTATGTTTGATTACACAGCAGGAAGCACAGCAAAAAGATTTATATCACACTGCCTTGAACTCATAGAATGAATACAGTAATGACTCACTCTGGAAATGCTGTTCGGAAAGTTCAGAAAGTTAAATAAAACCATCTCTATAAAAACAAATGTAAAGGCAGCAACAACAGTCTGCTGATTCGTGATGATCAGTGAAGTCAGTGTTCTGCTGGGTAACCTTGGGTCCTGGAATTCATGTAGTTGCCACTTGACACTTGGCGCTACCTACCCAAACAACAGCACAGACCAAGCTCACCCCCTAATGGCATTGGCACTACCCAATGGCAGTGACCTCCCCAGCAGGACAACGCACCATGCCACATCGCAGAAAGTGGTCAGGAATGGCCCCAGGAACATGACAAAGAGCTAAAGGTGTCAACCTGGCCTCCAAAATCACCAGATCCCAATCAGATCGAGCATCTGTGGGATCTGCTGCTACAGCAATCCACAGAACTCAAAGGATCCACCGCCAATGCCCTGGTGATAACTAACACACTAACACATGTGGAGAACATTTGACTTGCATTATGGCTTGGTATTTTAGTCAATTAATGAATTTTATTAATCTGCTTTGTCTGCCTTACAGACGCAGTTTACATGTTTTCATAATGGCTCATTTATAAAATCTGAGTTCTACTGAGTGAAACACTGCATAGATTTAAGCCTGCTGAAATCCTTTTCTAGCAGTCTGGACATATTGATGTTTCCAGCTCCTTGCCAAGACCAAGCTGGGTGGTGTGGGGGTTGTTCAGCATCACTAATATCAGTAATAAAAAGTAGTAAATAAAAAACAGGAACATGAGTGGAAACCTCTTCGTCATTGTAGGGAGACGATGGAAACCATACCACTGGTAGAGTTTCTGGGTGCATGTTCAACACTGTTATTAAAGCCACGAACGTAGTTTAGTCCAGTTGTTAGCAACATTACAGACACGGACAGCACAATAGGTAACAGAGCTTTGCAGGGACATTTTAGAACATGGTAATTTAATATTAGTCAAATATCTGTAAAAAACAAAACAAAACAAACAAAGCAGTATTTGCTAAATTAATGGCAATTTACTTTACCAGCCATTGGCAGTGAGCTACCTAGAAAAGCCACTGGGACTAACCATAGACAATCAATGCGCCTAACTACCTAAGGGGGTGATCACACAGAAATGAGACGCTAGGGACGTGGACGCTTCAAAGACGCCTGAAACGCTGGAAGCGCTTATTCAATGTGCGCTAGCTACTGGCGTCTGATGCTCAAAAAGTTGAAAATATTTTAACTTTTCAACATCTACGTGTGTCTAAAAATGCACGTCTAAAAAGAAGGGTCTACAAAAACGCGCGTCTAAAAAGACGCCGGAAAAACGCCTGTCTAAAAAGACGCTTGAATGCCGGTCAGACGCGCTGTTTCATAGGAAAACAATGGTTTTACTGGCGTCGCGTTTTTAGCGTTTCATCTCGGTGTGATCGCTCCCTTACTGCTACTTCCCCAATCTCACCGTAAGCTGCAACCATAATCATTTACATTTATACAGTGGCACCCTCAGGAATAAAGTGGATGCAGTCTGTAGTCACACCCTACACCCTAGCTCAACTGACAGTTTTCCATCAAAAGTGCTGAAAGGGATTTGCTTTTAAATTTGCCTGCCAAAAAAGTACAAAAAAATTCTACATTTTCCAAGCAATTAATTGAATTTTTGGCTGTAACATTGCAACAGAGAAACTAAAAGCATTCTAAATTGTATATTTCAAAGAGTTACTTTCATTACAATGGAGCATTCTTGCCATTATTTGGCTCATTCACATTTTCTGTTCCTAGCACGTCTGAGTAAATGAATTGCTATGTACTACTACTATTTTTAGTTTCTCATGTTGCACTGTGTGTTGATCAATATTCTCTTCAGAAGCACAAGAGAAAACTGGCAAGCCAATTTATCGCTTCGAAGCAGCTTGTTCCAAAAGCGTTGCCCGGCAACAGACATCACAGACATCCTTTGAGAGAGGGAAAAATAAATAAATCTCTTGCCACTGGCATACTGTATATGCATGGTTTTGTTGAGGGTGCTTTGTCACCATTTTGATGCACTGTGGGAGTGTGTGCTTCCACTGGGTGCTATGGTGCTGCGACAGCAGGCGTGGGGTGACACTGGCACATACAGGACCGTGGGTACAGATTAGGATGAGAGAAAGGAAGAAAAGAGCAGCAGTGGTGGGAGATGGGAAAAAAGGACACAGGAATGGAATACAGAAGAAGAGGAAGAAAGTGAAAGGGAAAAAAAGAGTGCTGCGTGCTAGTACCTGAACTGAAAGGTTTGTCATAGTTGCTCATCTGGTTGAAGTATTGAGCATAAACAAAAACATAGGAAAAATGGGTTATTGAGAAGGAAGTTATATAAGATTGGCCTTCATTCTGCATTTTACATTGTGAGTCAGCAGGCTGGGGTGGGCACTTAAAACTCCCTCACCGTCAATCTGTACACACCTTGAAACTAACAGTCATGTCCACTTAATTTATTTACAATAATGAAGCGTAAGTGTGATAGTTAATTATGCAATAATGCTTCTAATAAAATCTTGATTGACCAAAACTGAACTAATATGGATGGAAATGAAGGATAAAACGACATGAATTGAGCAGAATGAGGAAAAAAAGTTTGTGCATCACCTGTGGCTGCGGTACACATTGAGCAGAATGATGACAAAGCCCAGGCAGTAACAGGCCAGATAAGGGCTACCAAAGAGCTTGGAGAGTGACCGCGTATGGTGCTCCCATCTTGCCACCTGACAAATGACAGAGAGACAGAAAGCAGAGGTTGTGAGATGATTGTGTCAAAAATCACATCAAGTAGTTATCAAAATTGTGGGGGGTTATGCTCCTTAATATGTTGAAGGGAAAAGCTGGGAAAGCGGTGACAAACTAAAAACAAACTGCATCAACAGAAAGTATGTCAGTATATGGATAGATTGACAACACTGCTACGTAACTTACAACCTAAAATTAGCTGTCTTTGTGGCAAAGTTTGTCATGTTACATCAGAGCCACTTTTTGGCCACTTAGGGGCAGAGTCCTGCATGGGTCTGATTTCAAAACCCACTCCCAAGTCAGAACCGTAACATACAATACTGCACCTGCCCCACCGGTCACACATATGACCAAGTAGTTCCGCAACCTGATCTGACCCGCTGACACAAGATCCAGGGACTGACCGAAAACTGTAAATCCTATGACAACCATGCACTGTTCAAAGAATTCAGTAAGGCAGCACATTTAGCATAGAGCTGGGCAATATATTAATATCCATCCATTTTCATCGGCTTATCGGGGGCCGGACACGGGGGCAGCAGGCCAAGCAAAGCACCCCAGACATCCCTCTCCCCAGCAAGTTCCCAGGCCAGATGAGATATGTAATCCCTCCAGCGTGTTCTGGGTCTGCCCCCGGGCCTCCAACAAGTGGGACATGCCTGAAACACCTCCAGTGGGATGTGCCCAGGAGGCATCCTGATCAGATGCCGAACCACCTCAACTGACCCCTTTCGGTGTGAAGGAGCAGCGGCTCTACTCCGAGCTCCCTCCGGATCTCTGAGCTCCTTACCCTATCTCTAAGGCTGCTATCTATAGGCAGCCATTCCTAACTGACTCAAACAGGACAAAAGACATCATTGTGGTAACTGGTAACTTTACATTTACAGCTGCAGATATGGAGAGAAAAATGTAACGTCAGTGCTTTACGAAAATGCTTGATGTATTCCAGCTTCATCACAATATTCCTTCAAGAGCCCATTTCAGCCAATCCATAATTCCTGCTTTGTAGCAAAAACACAAAAGCCCAAAATGTGATGGGTTATTCATTAAATAAAAAGGACATTTTTCTGTCAATTAAAAAACAGAACTGTTTATTTGTGTTTGTTTATAACTACAGTACTACATTTTATATTTAATAAGGAGCTGTTTTTGTTTTATACTGTATGCTGCTATACAGACACCCTAGACGATGGGTCACAAGTATAGCTCCATCATTGTTAAAGGTCAAAAAACATCACACTTTGTATTGTTAGTTTTTATTAATTAAGCATTCTAAAAATCTAGGAATTTTCTCATTTTTGTGCTGTTTAGAAAACTTGACATCACTGTGTCGTATCAAACCAAACAGTTAAAGTCTTTCTATTTACACACCCAACAAATACTGAGCAGCATAAGCATTTATTTGGAGTTGTTTTTCTGTTAAATTGATGAATGTAAGTCTAATAATCACCCATCTTTTTGCTCTGTTTTGGTCTCCAACAAACCCTGAGGGAAGCACCTGGCTCTTTAGCTGCTGAACGCTCCACTGTGTTCACCAGCTAGCTGCTGAAAACAGCTGCCTGCTGCTACTGGGAGCAATGCTGACGAGAGCGGTGAGACTCAACCAAAACACTAACATTTAGCTGACAGATGCTAAAAAAGCTACGGAGAACAGGTTTGGGTTTTTACTATGAATGACTCCTTTCACATACACAAAGTCATGTTATCCATTGTTAATATATTTTTTTTAATTATAGCAGTTTTTAAGTCACTTTGTTGACATTATTTGTTAATGCCCCTACTGCTTACTTTCACTTCCTCCAAAAGCTGGTTGTTTGGATGCTTTGACTAAAAGTGCTCTATCTATTAACTGAAAACTTTGGCCACAAGAGGGTTGTTGATTCCTCAAATGTTTCAAATATTTTTCTCACAGTGGCAGAGGAATTAGTGATTCAGGCATTCTTCTCTGTTTCTTTCCTATTTGAAAATGTCAGAAACAATTCATCCCAACAACCGTGAAATCTCAACAGTGATGGCTTGAAAGCTTTCTGTCTTTCTTCCTTTTACTGAAGCTGAAATCACCTCAGAAAAATTAGTGTTTAATGTAGTGGTTGGTGTATTGACATCTGTATCCCTTTAAGCATCGCTCTACCATCAGTGTTAGCTTTAATTAGAAACAGAGAGAGTAAAATAAGGACAAAGAAACAGAATGAGATGCTTCCCAGCTCAAATATTTACAGTTAAGAATCTATTCAGAAGCTCAGGCTGACTGAGAGCCTCTTCTAGTAGATGCAAATACTGACTAGGTGATGAGGTCATTGAGTGAATGACTGACTGATGGGGCTGACTAACGCTGTGTTCAGACAGCAATCATGTCTGAAAGTTAAGTGTTTTTTTCTGTGCTTGGCAGGGCATGAAGCCTCAAAAATTACTGAATAACTGAAAAAAGCAACACTTCATCAAAAACACACACTCCATACAAACGTACTTTTAATCGTGACAGGGTATATGAACATAACAGGGGCCTTCTCTGAGAGTTCTTGGCTGAAAAGCATCTGCGTAATTTTTAGTCTGCTGATGTTTATCATGTTTATTCTGAGTACATTTCTTGATGGATTTGTCCCTTTTTGAGACTTCATGAGACGTGTTTCCTTTGTTTGCTTTTCAAATCTTATCTTTAAGTGCTCTATCATGATTTACAAGTGATTGGATTTGTGTGTGTACTGTGTATTTGAACAGCACAATCACTTAGGGTCAACACTAGAAGTTGTTAGAAATCGCCTCCTTCATTCTGTGTTAAATTATTTTCTCCTGCCATTTATACTCATAATTGTATTAAAGTGTATGTGCTCAAAGGTTATACAAAATTACAGAATATTTTCATCATATACCTAAACTAATCAAATCATAAACTATGATTGGTATTTGAACCCCACATCCAATAACAAGTCTAATGTCTAAAAGAGTCTAAATAAAAGCTGAATGGCTGGGTGTGAATGAACGGTGTAAACAGATTTTAACAGTAGGAAAAATACAAGTGAGAACTGCGCTGGGCCATATTACTCATTTCAACAGTTGGCTGTAATGGTTGGAGGCTAAGATCAAATAAAATTGTTTTTATGTGTCTATGAAAAAATAAATAAATAAATAAAAATATGTACACCTTGTTAGTACCAGGTTGGACGCCTTTTGCCTTCAGAATTGTCTTAATTCTTGGTCGCATAGATTCAACAAGGTGCTGGAAACATTCCTCAGAGATTTTGGTCCACACTGACATGATGGCATCACGCAGTTGCTTCAGATTTTTTGGCTGCACATCCATGATGCCAATCTCCCGTTCCACTACATCCCAAAGGTGCTCTATTGGATTGAGATCTGGTGACTGTGGAGGCAAATGGAGTACAGTGAACTCATTGTCATGTTCAAGAAACCAGTTTGAGATGATTTGAGCTTTGTGACATGGTGCGTTATCCTGCTGGAAGTAGCCATCAGAAGATGGGTACACTGTGGTCATAAAGGGATGGACACAGTCAGCAACAATACTCAGGTAGGCTGTGGTGTTTAAACCATGCTCAGTTGGTACTAAGGGGCCCAAAGTGTGCCAAGAAAATCTCCCCCACACCATTACACCACAACCACCAGCCTGAACCGTTGATACAAGGCAGGATGGATCCATGCTTTCATGTTGTTTTCTCCAAATTCTGACCCTACCATCTGAATGTCCCAGAAGAAATCAAGACTCTTCAGACCAGGTAATGATTGTCCAATCTTCAGTTGTCCAATTTTGTTGAGCCTGTGCATTGTAGCCTCAGTTTCCTGGTCTTGGCCGACATGAGTGGCATCCGGTGTGGTCTTCTGCTGCTGTAGCCCATCTGCTTCAAGGTTTGATGTGTTGTCTGTTCAGAAATGGTCTTCTGCAGACCTTGGTTGTAACAAGTGTTTTTTTTTAGTTACTGCTGCTTTTTATCATCTTAAACCAGTCTGGCCATTCTCCTCTGACATCAACAAGACATTTTCGCCCAGAGAAGTTAACTGGATATTTTCTCTTTTTCAGACCATCCTCTGTAAACCCTAGAGATGGTTGTGCCTGCGTGAAAATCACAGTAGTTTCTGAAATACTCAGACCAGCCTGTCTGGCACCAACAACCATGCCACATCCAAAGTCACTTAAATCACCTTTCTTCCCCATTCTGATGCTCAGTTTGAACTTCAGCAGGTCGTATTGACCATGTCTACATGCCTAAATGCTTTGAGTTGCTGCCACATGATTGGCTGATTAGCCATTTAATTTAATGAGCAGTTGAACAGGTGTACCTAATAAAGTGGTGTATGTTTGTAATTGTAATTGTAATTGTAATTGTCTTACGCACCCTGCGGTCTCGTGCCTATGACCGTGACGATATACAGTACAACATCACTCCCTCTCGTGAGATATTGCTTAAATATATGTAAATATATGTATATATATGTATATATATATACATATATATATATACATATATATATATATACATATATATAAATATATAATCTGAGAAATCTGAGAGCAGAAATTCCGCGAGTGCACAGAAACAGTTTGAGCCCGAGGTGAAAAGCCGAAGCTCGAGCAGGAAATCTGTGCAAGCAACATGGTATCTGAGTGCGAGCACACAATTTGAGCAGAAACAGAGTAGATCTAAGGCAAGCAGAGGCTATTTGAGTGCGAGGGCAGGGTTTTTGAACATGAAATCAATAAATAATGCTCTCAAACTGATAGACCACTCTCTTGAATAAAGATAGGGATAAAGCTCCATATTATCCTGCCCTCCATTGCACATATGGTCGAAAATGATGCAAAATCATCAGTGACGATCCTTGCTAAATGTTATATTTTGGCAAAATGAGAAAATTGCTTGTCAGGGAAAAACAAAAAACAATACTGCAAACAAGAAGCTGCTCGCATCTGCTTACTTAGAGGGAATTATCTACTCATATTATTATTATATGTATACATCCCTGA